AAAACCGAGACGGCTGCATGAGCAGATGCATTGTCGTGGCAGCAAAACCAGTCCCGCGTCTGCCACAAGTTAGACCTTTTTGGCAGCACACTGTTACACAATCCTTTGAGAACGTCTAAATAGAAAGCTTAGAAATAGTCTGACCTGGTGGAACAGACTCCAAATGCACTACACTTACGAGTCAACGTTTTCGTCCATTCAGGAAGTTGACAGACATCCAGAATGAGGTTTGTCAACAATCGACATTTCACCTTTCCCATAGTGCTATCCTTGTAAGCTATGTTCAACATCACAACAGTTTCTGCGACATTTTTCCATAGCAGGAAACAAAATTTCGCACGCTGCTCTCTTAAATCGGCCATCACAAAAACAAGTTTCGAGCAAAAGTGCTTTTCTGAAGAAATTCACTGTGACCAGAGAGAACCTTCCCAGGGAACGCCATTGGGTGCACTAACTCAGAATGGATTGCTCGATGCTGACCTAGAAGGAAAAATGCATACTACAAAAAGCTCCGCTCCACCCAGCACGAGTCTGGGTTTCTTGGGGGGAGTCCCCTAGTCCAGTTCACATTGTCCATAATAAAAAGGAACAGTAAATAAGACAAAGTGTTTCTTCTTCAGACACAATCGAGAAATGTGAAGTAAAGGGAACACAAGATAGAGGTGCACTGTTGCAGCTGCTCATTGTCATCAAGTTCATGCCCACTCTCAGTGGCCCCCAGGGTGCAGAGGCTGGGCCCTCTCTGAAGCAGATCACCAGGCTTCTCTTGTGAGGTACCTCTAGAAGGATCCGAACAGCTGACCTTTGGTATAGCAGTCTAATGCCTAACTGTTTGCATTACACAGGGAGACTCCAGGAAGCACAGCCCGATGAAGGCACCTTGAGGGTGAAAAGGTAGAAGGGCAGAGTCTTCCCCAAGGTCAAGATGCTCACTTTGAAGGAAACACTTCAGAGACCAGCTAAATGACAGCTTGGCCAATCAACCAATCAAAACATAGCTGAACTTCCTTGTCCAAGAGCATTAGGCAGTTGTGGGGGGGAGGGGGCGGTGTTAGAGAGAAAACCTGCAGCTAATTAACTTAGGTTTGCAATTTGGTACAACAGGTTACCCCGGGTGGATTAAAAAGGCAAGAGAGCAAGCAGCACTGCAGCGAGTATTATCCTGGGAGTGGTAGTAAGCAGAAAGTTAATGAGACCAGGAAGTATCTAACCAATTAGCAAAAGGAAAACAGAAATCTATGACAAGTCATAATAAAGAGGGCAGATTCAGATTCAAAAATTGTGTCGTGATAAGACAATTATGATCATGAGAGGGGCACTTCTCAAGACCCAAGAAATGGTCATGTTCCTGTTGATGCCGAGTTCTAGGGTAAGCAGTGATGGTGCGGGCAGAGACACCCAGCACGGTAGCGCTCCGATCCT